GCATTAGGTCCATTTTCTACCTTATTGAATTCCATTTAAAGTGGCCTCATCAGTAAATAAAACATTTATATATGTAACAACAGGGGAAAAAAACAGGAAGATTAAAAATGCTGAAAATAGGGCCCTCCCTGGTGTTGCAGTGGGTTAAAGTACTGCACAAAGAAGCGTAAGCCACTTCCACATGAGTTGGATTCCCGCCTGCCCTGGAGGTGACCACATGGCGCGGCAGACCTCTCCTGACCTGCCTGCTGCTCCCCTCAGCAGTGTACTTCGTCGATCTGCCTATTCTGCTCCCCACTCTGTCCCTGGTGAATTCTGTCACTTTCCACATTTCTGGCTTGTACCCCAGTTCTGTATGAATAAATAAATCTTTAAAAAAAATGCTGAAAATAATTGATTCTATCAATTAGTTCATTCAATTATAGACCCTGATTAATAGACCACTGTTCACAAAAAAGTCAGTCAACTTTATAGTAAGATCCTGAACTTGCAAGTAACTGGATTTTTATTGAGTTGTAAATTGGCAGTAAAATCTGAAATCAAGGTAAAGAGAGACACCCTTTTAAACACATCTAACTTTCAAAAGTGTCAACAATTTCCCCCACCCCAAAATCTCTTAATCACAGTCTAAATTTATTGAATTAAGTCATTAAAGTGTAAACCTATAACTTAGCACTATGGAAGCAAATTTTAAAATAAATTACTATAGTTCTGAGAACTCAGCAGGAAACTGCTAATTATTCTTTTAGTGCAATCAGGGTTTTATGCATTTATTTATTTTTAAGATTGATTTATTGATTCATACAAGAACTGGGGTACAGGTCAGAGTTCCTGGGGGTGAGAGGATTCACCAGGGACGGAGTGGGGAGAAGAATAGGCAGAATGACTGAAATACACTGCTGAGGGGAGCAGCCAGAGAGTCAAGAGAGGTCTGCCATGCCATGTGGGTCAGCTCCCTGACCAGGAACTCCTGCTGCAGTGGCTGCAGATAGTTTCATAGTACACTTTGACCTGTTGTGCCACCAGCGATGACTCTACAATCAGGGTTTTAAAGTGTCATGTATTGCTATTGTAATGATTCTGACTGATCAAGATGCTATGTGTATGGACACTACAATGACTCTACTGATTAGGGCTCCTCTAAATTGAAATTAACAGGTGATTCTGGGAACATTCCTCTGAAAAGTGGTATAAATACAGGCCCCACATTTAAAACAATTTGAGGTACTTGTGGACGTCACACTGTAGGCTGCGTATTTCACAGACAGATCTTGAGTTCGAAACCCAGACGTGGTCAGCAGGGATGTCTGTTCTATGTGCAGGGATGCACTTGAGGAATTGGTAGGAAATCTGCTCTTGCTGCCAGTTAGTGATATGCCAAGGGAAAAGTGCTTGTCCGGATTGTCAAAAGCAGATTTTCTGACAGATGCATTTAATCTTTTTTTATCATCCCTCCCTCATTTCTTTTTATTACTAAGATATGATTTCTTTACGCAAACTTACGACATATGGACTAAAAAATATATGGCCTAAATTCAAGGACAATGCTGTCCATTGCAAACTGTTATAAACAGAAGCGCCACTAGCTTCCCATCCTACTTAAAACAGTGCACCATGGATTACAACTCTGTGCGCATAGTGTACAAATTGCAATGTAGTAGTGCTTCAGTGCGAATTCATCCCCACCCGAGAGGTGAGCCACATGGCACAGCAGACCACTCCTGACACGCCCGCTGCTCCCCTCAGCAATGTACTTCGTCAGTCTGCCTGTTCTGCTCCCCACTCTGTCTCTGGTGAATCCTCTCATCACCCCTGCAACTCTAGCTTGTAACCAGTTCTGTATGAATAAAATAAATAAATCGTTTTAAAAAAAAAATGTGCAGGCAACCCTGATCAAGGAATTTTCCTTTTGCAACCTTACAACATTATAAGACTGTGAGTATTGAAATTTTATTCTTCAATCTTCTCCTACCTTTGGGTCACATGATACAATAGTATATGTGTGTGTAAATAGATACATGTAATACATATATACATCTATCTATAGATATATAATCTCGCTTGATCCTTTATATACTTCAAAGACATCAGTGTTTTCTATGGCCTAGTAATTCCAAATTATACTCTGCTATCAATTTTATCTTATTGAAACAGGGTGATACAACTCTTAGAAAAGGAATCAAATGATTTTGCTTGGGCTTTCTGGGCCTAATCAAATAGCCCAACTCTTGGTATCCGCACTTCTTTGTCTATGAAATATAAATTAAAGTGATAGATCCAAAGTTGTCCTAGTGAAAGAACTTTAATGGGAAGCATTTGCTGAACTCATCTGTAATGTGGACAACCAACACTATTGCAGGATATTGCTTGCTGTTGCTGTTTCCCAGCATGATGCTAAGAAAAGGAGGCTTTTCAAGAAGTGCCAGAGCTATTTTGGTGACAACCTCTATTTTATATACATTTGTGCCATGTCTGTGCATTTTGTTAGCTGAAATAGTAATGATGATGTTCCCTCTGGCCTGCCACACAAACAACTCAAATATTTAAGACACAAAATGTGTGATTATATAATAAGAACTTACCATTTTTCTGCCCAAAATGTGTTATATTTTGTACTAATGAGCACTTTCACATTTTCATAATTACCTAAAATAAAGGGAGGAACTTCATTCTAAATCTTGTCATATCAAACCCATATATTCTTTGCTTATCCACTAGATAGCTTCTCCATGGAGGCAGTATTTTTAAAAGCCTAATGCAAACATAGCATGGGTTCCATGATCTCAGGAAACAGACAATTCACTTATCACACAGGATATTTCAGTATTTATTTCAAACTGAGCTTCTTTTCAATGAACTAGCAAAGTTCCACATTTCTCAAGAGAAAGCTTAAACACATTTTTACTAAACACATAATTTTACTAAAATAAAACCAAACAGCAGTTTTAAATATCAGAATGGTATAACCAAACAACATCATTTACATAATGACTGAAAAAGTCAACACACAATTAAACCTTTTGCAATATAAAGATATAAGTAAGTTTTGCTTTTGCATGGTTATTTGTGTATTTATTCTACCCAACAGGTAAGACATGAAAATTGTGTCTGACTCACAAATCTGTAAGTCTACATCCTAGCATACATGCAACTCTCTGAAAATAACAAAAGTTTATCCAATGATTTTTAAAAACCATGGTAAAACCAAACCGCTCAGTTCTATTTACACACTACATATTAATGTGTCCAAATTGTGGTGTGGGGAACAGTGAAGTGAGTGCAGATGTGTTTCTTGCAGTCCTAGCCATAAGTCCAAGGTAACTTAGTCCATCTGCAGAATGCATGTTGCTGTGGAAAGATGGATTCCTGGGCTCTCCCTTGACCTGTAGCCACAGGATGTCACAGCACAGCTACTGGGTTTACCAAATCAGAGGAGGTTTCAAATCCAGATGGCCATACCTGGCCGTTTGCAGCCAAATAAATGTCCACTTTACTAGTTATCTATCACCTGAAATAATGTGACAGTTACTGTAAACTTAAAATTTAATTTAAAAAATACTGAGAATTCATTAAAAATATGGTGAATTGTAAATAAAGTCAATAGGCTATTTTCAAGGGATTTGAATGATACTAACATGAGGCTTCTGCAGCCGAAAACCAGAGAGCTTTTCAAATACTATTCATGATATTCTACCATTCAAAATGCAGTGGGGACAGAAAAAAAACTTCAAACAACTCCACATCATTTCTCACCCAACTAGGCTTCTAAACTTACAATTTCTGAACTGATAGCTGTAAATTATCTCATTACACCGAATAGCTCTGATCATTAAGGAAGCAATTTTCATTCTAAATTCATTCAGCAAAGTCAGATTACTCCTCCCTACCCAAAGGAGTATTTCATACATACTTTCAAAAGTATCAATAACTGACAAATTGCTTAATGTCCATCAAACTAATTACACAATTCATACCTTCTCACATATAACACTGTGCCATAGGAAATAATATTTTCTGAAATTTCTACTCATATCACCAATAATAATAATTAAAAAAAAACTATCTCGTAGGACACCTTGAAGAATAACCATAAGCCTCTGCCCTCATGTCTGAGGAGTAAGTTACAGGTGCTTGAGCAATCCCAAATTTCAACCCTCTCTTATTTCACTATTGTTTTCACAAGTAGAGATAAAATAAAGGTCGGTTGGTCTCACTGTGATTATAGAATAATACCATATTTTACATACACCTAGTTCTCAGTAATGAAAAAATTACTACTCACACACACACACAAAATAAGGTTCAAGTCATATAAGAGGTCGACTGGGGCAAAGTGATGTAGGGGTAACAAAGTCACTGGAATAAAAGAAGCGTTGACTAACAACTCAACGGTGTGAAAGGCAAGTTCAATTGCAAGCAGTGCTCCGCGTTAGGGCGCTCAGCGCAGGGCTGCTGGCGACGCAAGGTGGCGCGTCTCAATCTGCGCGCCCCGCAGTCTTGCTGCTCCCAGTCTTTCCTGAACCGGGAGAGTCGGGTTCTGCCAGTCTGAGAGTCCTGAAGGGTTTTCAGCTCACAGCTGGTGTGGGAAAGGTGGAAAGTGCAAAAAAGAAACCGCTAGAACTGGAAAACTCTTTGAACGCGCGCGCGCGCACACACACACACACACACACACACACCGGGTTCCCCACAGCAGAGAACCCCCCTTTCCTTACTTTCCTTCCATGCTGATTTCGGGAGTTGACTCCCTGCCTGTTGGCTTTTAGAGAACAGGCAGAGAAGGAGTCTGTGTACCTGCACATCCTGGGGGACTTGGCAATTTCAAACTGTGGGCGCTGCCACTGCACATCGAAGACTCGGTGTCTCTAGCTAGTTTCGAGTGGGACAGGCATAGGGAGATCAATGAGATAGCGGTCAGGGGTAGCGCGCCAGACGCCACTTGCTGCTGATGGCTCCTGAGCGCGGCACAGCTGGAGGCGATGGGGGGCAGTGAGTGCGGGGTCTTAGGCGGCAGGACGACACACCAGCAGCTGGCGGAGGCTCCTGCGGAAGCTGTCGTCCAGGAAGGCATAGAGGAAGGGATTGAGGCAGCTGTTGGCATAGCTCAGGCTCGTGATGAAGTAGGAGACTGCAATGACGAGCGGCGTCTGCGGGAGGTCGGTGGTGAGCGCCACCACGGTGCTCAGATGGTAGGGCGTCCAGCAGAGGAGGCACACGGCCAGGATCGCCACCACCAGGAGAGTCACCCGCTTCTTAGCGCGGTCCAGCGCTTTGGCGTGACTATCTAGGCGAATGGAGCGGAGCCGGCACAGCAGGGTGGTGTAGAGCACACAGATGGTGGACACCGGGATGGCGAACCCCAGCACCAGCGTGTACAGGCGGCTGGCCCGCCACCAGAAGGCCTCGGGATGCGGGAAGACCAGCACACACTGGCGCCTCCCTTGCTCGTCGTCAAGCTGGGCGAATACCGCGAAGGGCAGCACGACTAGTGTTACGAGCCCCCACACGGCCAGGCTGACCGCGCGCGCGGCGCCATAGGTGCGGCCGGTCACTCTGCGCGACTCTGCCGTGGCCAGCACTACCAGGTAGCGGTCGGCGCTCATGACCGTGAGGAAGTAGAGGCTGGAAAAAGTGTTGTACTGATCGATGGCCACGATTAGCTTGCACATGAGTTCCCCAAAGGGCCACTGCCGCAGAAGAAAGTCGGCGATGTTGATGGGCAGGACGAGCGTGAAGAGCTCGTCTGCAATGGCCAGGTTGAGGATGAACAGGTTGGTGACCGTCTTCATGCGGGGTGAGCGCAGCAGCACGTACAGCACCGCCGAGTTGCCCGCCAAGCCCACGGCGCAGATCACCGCGTAGACGACGGGCACCGCCACCACTAGCGGCGGCGGCAGCGGCGGCGGCTGCTGGCTGGACGCGTTGAAGCAGCCGACCTCCGCGACGGAGCACGAAGCGTTGGGGGGGCCCAACTCCGCTGCCGACGCGTTATTCATCCCGACGAGGGCAGACAAGAAGAGGGCTGGTTTCTTCCACTGCCCGCCCGCGGAGTCTCGGGCCCCGGAGCCCGGCCGTCGGCGTGTTCTGGCGGGTCCTTTTGGCGCGGGCGCCGCGGACTCAGCCTTCCCGGCTGCTGTAAAGCGGAATGGACAGCTCAAGTTAGGCGGGTGGACTGACAGCTGCAAGTGGACGTGCGGGGATGGGGAGCTTACCTCAAACCTGCCCAGCGTGATTGTTTCTGCGACCTGGTGAGGTCATATTCTAACCCGGTAAACACATCAAACCAAGTGAGAGAGAGAGAGAGAGAGAGAGAGAGAGAGAGAGAGGCTTCCCTACCTTTTATAGGAAAAATTACAAAGCCTTTCCCCCCGCTTTAGGATACCCCTAGCAGACCTGAGAGTCCCTGAGAGAATTCTTCAGGGCTCAGCTTTGAGTCTAGGTACCTTGCGCCTCGGGTAACGGCAAGCTCAATAGCAATCTCTAGTCTCACCCAGCCAAAGGGTCTGTCTCTTTTGGAGTGATGAGGAGAGAAGGCAGTAGGATCCTGAGCAGCTGTGGCGCCAACCCGCAGAGTCAGCCTACGGACTTCTGCCCGGAGGCTGCAGCTCGCACTCTGGAGGATCTCACCACAGCGCTGCGAAGCTTAGAGCTGGCGCAGCCGCAGCTGGCTCCGCCGACCCCAGGCCTTCCACCCGCCTCTTCCTTCCCCCCCACCCCCCACCTCCCCGAGTGAAACTGCCATAGAACCAACAGATCGGCATTATAGAATTCTTTTCTTGTTTCGTGTAGTGTAACTTCAGTCCATTTGAATTAACAAAACGTTCTCCTGTAAATAATTAAATTTAAGAAAAACAAAGAATAGTGCTGGTCTATAAACATAGTTGAGGTTCGCATTACTTTTTTTTTTTTGCATACCATAACCCAAATGGTCAGATGTCATTTTAATTTTAAATTTATCACATGCTATACAGGAGAAAGTGAATACAGTTTTAAAAAATATAAATCACCCGTTTTCTAAGACTCTGATCTTCACAAGTTTACAAGATTGACATTAAAAAACTATTGTTGACAATTTGGATTAGGCTTTCTAAAACGTATACAAGCTATAACTTCATTAACAAAGACAAACTATTTCTGAAAGCCTTTTAGGGCACCATAACTTAATGCATGTTTCATAAAGTGTGGTAAGTTGTTCAACACTCTGTTCTGATTCTCACACTTTCCTGGTTCTGACTTTGGATGGAATTATCCTGAGCCACAAAGGTGTTGCCCAGCTAAGCAGAGCAGCTGTTCCAGTTTTTTCCTTTGTGAAAGGAAACTCACCTTTGACTTGGAGGACTGAATGAAATAAACTAAATATTAGTTTCTCCCATTCTTATTTTCTTCCCCCACCTCCCCTTTGGGAAAGTCAGTAAATTAAAACAGGAATTCTATCCTGCTTCCCTATAATAAATCCCCCCTCCACCACAACAGGTAAAAGTCCAAAAAAAGTGAGAGAAGTTTTTAATAGTGTGTTTTCAGACAGAGGCCCTGAGAATGGGACAGGAAGTGGCCAGTAGAGCAGCTTCTAAGGGCAGAAATAGAAATGCTTTCCTTTTCCCTCTCAGTTCTTCTTCTTCTAGGATTTCCATAAATTTAGTACCTGCAGTTTCATGTTTTGTGTGAAGAAATGACAAGAATATGTGAAAAAAGACATTGTTAAATGGAACAAAAACATTATATACATAGTGTATGTCAAATACAAATAGAGATGTATATATACACATACATTTGTGTGTATCTCTATATTGCATGCATTTACATATGCAAATATATGCTTAATTTTCAAACAGTTGGAAACTTTTTAGCTTTTTTTAAGATTTATTTACTTATGCTTACAGAACTGGGGTACAGGCCAAAGGTGTGGTGGGTAAGAGTATTCACCAGACAGAGTGGAGAGCAGAACAGATTGGCAAAGTACACTGCTGAGGGCAGCTGAGGGCAGCAGCAGGCAGATCAGAAGAGGTCTACCAAGCCATATGGGTCAGCTCCCTGGCAGGGGATGGAACTGGTGCTGCAGTGGCTTCTGGGAGGTTCATAATACAGTGCTTTAACCTGTTATACCACCAGGGAGAGCCCAAATTTTTAGCTTTTTAACTATTTTCTGACTTAATCAGACTATGAATAGAAAGTATATTCAACATGATTTTTATTTATTACCATTCTTGAAACATTGCCAAGTATGTATTATTTTTCTAACTGTGTAATGTATATAATGAAAATATGTGATTTTCATTCGTTACGTGCAAAACTGTAAACATGTTAATTGCTCAATTTTATTGTGGTGTCTGTTAACCTTTTTCTGTCATGTTTTATCAGTTACTGAGAGAGATATGTTAAAAATATCAATTAGTAATTTTAGATTTCTCTATACTTTTAGTTCTGTCAAAGTTTCTACATAATTTGATGCTGTTTTATTAGTTGTGAACACATTTGATTGTTTTATTTTCCTGTGGAATGCATTTTTTCATCATCATAAAATGTTCTTCCTTAACTGTGTTCCTACTGCTTGCTGAATGTGATGCCTTTGTTTGATATTATTACAGCTACACTAATTGTGTTCCCCTTAGTATTACCATGGTTTATCTTTTCTTAACTCTATTTTCACTGGAGAGATGGAAGGGGAAGAAGAGTGAGGAGGGACTGGAGGGAAGGATTAAAAGGATGCAGAGAATCATTGTGTGGGTTATAAAGCCTTAATATAGCTACTTAGTAAACAAAATATTCAGGAAAACAGACTATGGTATATTGTCATCTAAAGCAAGAAGTTGAATGCATAGAAGAGTCCTGCATGCATACAAATACATGCAGAAAGTTCTAGAAAATTCCAGCAGTTCAGAGGGCAGTAAAGGAAGATTTTTCCTAATATATTTGAAAGAAATAAAAATCTGTGAAAAACTGAATACTCAAATCCTTAATTTCAAATGTGTCTGGAATGTAGATTTGCGCTACTCATCTGTTCCAAGAACCTCGGTGACTTCAAATACATACATACACAAAGATATAGATTCCCATTCAAAATAGAATAGTAGCTATGTTCCTGAAATTCGTATGTGTCTTATGACACATCTCTCCAGTGAAAATAGAGTTAAGAAAAGATAAACCATGGTAATACTAAGGAGAACACAATTAGTGTAGCTGTAATAATATCAAACAAAGGCACCAAAGTAGTGTTTTTCTACTTCTAGTATATTTTTGTACCCACTTACATGCAGATTTTCTGATAAGCAGATGATATACATAAGTTGATAAGTTTTGAGTTAGTCAATAGTCATATGTATATTTTCAACTGTGTGGTATGCTTCTAACTGCAGTTGTCAACGGTCAACTGTTGTTGTATTATAGCATTATGTATTTTAAACATATCTTGATGTTATGTGAGTTTTAAAAAATAAGTAGATCCATATTGCCTTTGAATTAAAATAGAAAAAGATCAAATACGAAAAGAAAAATTCCTGATTAATATGATCTTCAAGGTCTGACATAATGCAGCTGTTGCCTAGTTATAGACCAGCAAAAACACACTAGGTTTATTTCCCACCTACTCAGATTGACCCCCAAGCTCAACACTCCACTAAATTCTTGTCAAGTACAAGTACAACTCAAGTACAAGTACAACTTTATCTTGTCACATTACATTTTTTAACTTCTCTGCAGTATTTCAGAGAGTAATCCATCGCCTCCTTGAAGCACATTATTTTACAGGTTCTTAGACACCATTCTGGTATTTGTGTTATTCATATCTACTCCTTAGATTTGTCTTCCAACCTCCCATCTCATCTTTATCTCATAATGTGGGAGATCCCAGTGTCTGATACATGGTCTTATTCTTTCCCCTCTTCCCCTATTTTTTAAGTTACTCTACTTTCACACTTTCTGCATGGTCTCATCCAAACTCCAGACTTTAAATATCAAAGTTTAATAAATTTATCTATTTTTAGCATATATGGGACTCTCTGTTTGTATACTTGACATCGACATTTGAATTAGTATTTCATGCCTCTACTTGATATGCTTTATGTTCCAGTAAATCCTCTCTCCCAGCACATCTGTCATCCATTTTATTAATTATATGAGCATTTATCCAGTCATTCTAGAACCAAATCTAGGCCATAGACACCACCATGGGGATACCATTCTCAAAATTTCAGCCAAACCCAATTACCTTCCTGAGACCTCCACTTCCAAATACCAACAAAGATATGAGTTTTAAAAATGTAACATAATTTTTTTTAAGATTTATTTGTGCATACAGAACTGGGGTACAGGCCAGGGGCTCATGGGCAGTGAGAGGCTTCACCAGAGACAGAGTGGGGAGCAGAACAGGCTGATCGTACACTGCTGAGGGGAGCAGCATGCAGGTCAGGAGAGGTCTACCACACCATGTGGTCACTGGGGCAGGTGGAAATCGAGTTCATGCAGAAGTGACTCTAGCTTCTTAGTGCTGTGCTTTAACCAGCTGCACCACCAGGGAGGGCCAAAATGTAACATAATATTAACTATAAGAAACTATATGAGGCAGTGATAGAAGAAATGCTTGAAGTAATAATGATTGAGAATTTTTCAAAATTGAAGACTGATGTCAGTTTACATAATATTTTCCAACCTTGATCAATGGCAGATAACTAAAACTTCAAAAAGCAAAAACAGGGCCTCCCTGGTGGCACAAGAGGTTAAGTCTCAGCCCTATCAAGCTATAAGTAGCCACTGCAGCAGGAGTTCAATTCCTGGCCTGGGAATTGACCCACACGGTGCAGCAGAAATCTCCTATCTCACCCGCTGCTCCCCTCAGCAGTGTTATTTCAGATGATCTGCCTATTCTGCTCCCCACTCTGTCTCTAGTGAATCCTCTCACCACCTATATCTCTAATCTATACCCCCCTCTGTTGTATGTAAAATAATCTTAAAAAAAAAAAAAGCAATACCACAGATAAGAGGAGACAAGATATTGTGTAAC